TAGGACACATACATCCCAGACTGATTTGCATTCAAGGTCATGACAAAGTTCAGCAAAAATGCAGATCTGAGCAGAACAACTCTTCATGTATCATGGATTGCTGTGTTTCTTTTCTTTTTAGGCAGCTCTAATGAATAATGATGATTATCATGGTGGATAGGATGTTAGGGACAGTATGTACTTGTGCATATTTGTCTTGCAGTGTTTGTCACATGCCCGCTTGTAGATTTCTAGCTAGAGTGGAAAACATCCAGCACTGAACTCCAAAAATTTATTAAAAAAACCCCAAAGTAGCTGTTGAGTCATAAAGAATATTTTTTCTGAGGAGACATTCATACTGCTTGATTTTAGTCATCCAAAAAAAATGCCTCGCATGGAAACCTATCTTCCTGTGTTATGAATGAGAAAAAAAATATTTGAAGTTGTAGTTTAGAACCTGAGAGCTCATCATGTGTGTCATCTGGTGTATGTCATCACTAGATTCAAACTACATTTTGGTGATCTGATTTCTATGGCAAAACCAAAGTACTTAAACACACTTCAGCTCATCTAGGATCTTAACTTTCTCCATTAATTTTATGTGGAGATAAGTATGCCACCTTGGTAATTTTATTTAGGTTTTAAGGTTAATCAATTAGACAGTTAGATACCCTCTGAGCAGTAGTTATCCATATAGCAAATCTGGATAATTTAATTTACGTGTGATTTTAGATGGCACTATTTTATACCTTTTTATAGTTCAATCCGGGGATAAATGGCAGTAATTTAGATATACTAAAAAGTAGAATGTGAAATATACCAAGTCTTCAATGAAAGCTAGAGTGAATTTCAGGGTTTATTGAACCAAACTAACGTATTTTTTAACATGCAAACCCTAATTTTTACTCTGCTAATAATTAGTCTGCTTTTCTCTCTGGAGTTCATCATTGTGGTAGCCATCAGCTAAGTGATGCTGCTTCTGTTGTGTGATAACTACACTGTGTCTTGTTTGCTTCTATTTTATTTTTATGCCTGGCAACATGTAGACTTTGCATTCCTGAGATTGTTGTCCTTGGATAACAAGGTTGCAGTGGATGAGGAAATTATTCTTCCTGAGTAAGAGGATAATTTCCTATATATAGGGAGAAACAGTACTGCAGAGAGACCACTAATCTGATAGTTACTGCATATTTTTATAGAAATATAAATACATTCCTCCTCGTGAAGGAATCTCAGGAGTCATACTCATTATTGCTATCATTACCAAAAACTTCTGGAAGAAAACCAAATAATTAAAACATCCATCACCAATGAAATCTCTAGTCATCTAGTCTCCACATTAGAGGACACTGACTAAAGGATGAGGCAAAGTCAATTTAATTCATTTCAAAAATACTCCTATAAAAATGGAAGGAAAAACATGAAAATTAACCAAAAATAATTCTATTTTTTTGACTTTTTTGAAACAGGGAATAGAGATTGATGGATTGTTTTTTATTCAAAATTATCAAGCTACTAATGAAAAAAAAGAAACTAATGATACCCAGTTAAAAAGAATGAAAAGGTTTTTTTTCCAGTTGTTTTGTTTCTATTCAATTTAAGTTAAAGTCCTTAGATTTGTCATGTAGAGCAAACCCTAGAGGCAGTTTCATTTAATTCCTTCAACAGGTTTTACATTCAGAGAAAATTCTTACAAATCTTGTGACTCTCTCCTTCTGCAGTGTTGAAAAGATATAGCGTGAACAAAGGCAGACAAGGATGTGGTGTGTCAAATGAATCTGTTCCTCAAGTGTTCCTGTGCCTCTGTAAAATTGCTTTTTTCACATTGGCTGATTATACAGTTAGCATATGAAACATTTTCCTGCCAGTGGTATTTTGCTGAAATAAATACCTCAGGAAAAGCAATATTTTTTGCAGGAAATTTCCATTTAGTTCTAGCTCAGGTCAACTTTAATGTCCCTATTGCCTGAGTCACTTTTTACTTTGTTCTTTTATATTTGTTTCTTTATATAGAAACCAGAGAGCCCAGATGCACCACAGAACATGTTCCCAATTATGTTCTGCCTCTGTATTTGGATAAGTGGGAAGGATTGCTGCCATCATCAGCGACTGGTTTCCCTGAACAGAAAATCTACTCATGAGGATTGCACAGGAGTGTGAGGAGCTGGAATGGGACCCCTGAGGAACCAAATGTTGTGCTGTGATTAACAAGCCTTTACCCTTAGCAGCCTTGCAATACTTCCCTTTCATATCTACCTGTCACAGGAGGGAAGAGGTGCTGATGATTACTTTGCTACCACATATCAGCATGGTCTTGTGCAGCTTATGTATTACTTTCTTGGGTAGGAAGAGCAGTGAAGGTTGCTGAGGAGTGCTTGTGCTAGCAAATGTAGGGTCTCTGGAGCACTGTTGCCACCCAGTCTACATTGCTATTATCTTTGCTTGAGTATGACTCTGTCTGTTGTAGTTATGTGCTTAATTTTTCCTTAACCACAATAATCTCATCTGTGTTTGGCATATTTTAGTAGTTAGAGTAACTCAAAGTTTTCTGTCTCTTTTTCCTCCTTCCTTCACTACCAGCAATGCAAATTATTTTCCTATAGAAAGTAGGAAACCTGGGCTGGCTATGTGATTTTGCACTGTACTACAGACTCACTAATAAATCTTCTGGAAACTACAGCAGCAACCTTAAGGGCTTATAAAACAAGCTGAACCAAAGGTGCCACTGTACGGAGCCAAGCTGGAAGGCTTAATACATGCAGGTTGGATAAACTACTCAGGAATATTTCACAGCTGACTGTATTTTCATTTTTGCAGCTGTAACAACCTAACCACCAGCCTGTTATAATGCTGCAACACACCGCTCTATGTGAGCTGAATCAATCCCTCATTGCATAGTAAGGGTGAACAGTGCCCTTTGGAATTGGGAACTGGAAGCAGTATTAGATGAAGTAATTTAATTTCCCTTTGTTTTGCAATTTTTTTTACCATTACTCATGAGCTAGTCAGGCTATATTTTTTTGTCTTGTATTTTATGTCAACTGATAATTTAGATTATGTAGAATTAGACACACTGAACAGAAGACTTGAAGTCTTACTGATACTGTCATTCGTTCCTTACTGCTCTCTATTTCAGCAGGCAGAAAAGTTGTAATTGTTAGATTTATTTAATAATTTTAGTACCTCACAGAGATGAGGCTGGGTAAAGGTGAATATACTAAAGACACAAAAAAACCTTTCAAACACTGTTCAAAAAAGTTCAAAAAACTCCCCGAACACTCTACCACTTCTTTGAAGTGACTGAACACTAGAAGTGTATAATTTTTTAGCAATAAAAGCCTCTAGACGTCTTGCAGCTTTTGTGAAACTCTCAAGTCACCTTGGGTTAAGTAATTTAGCACTTGTCTCCCAAATAAATCCACTTACAATGCAGATGCTCCTGCTTCCATATATAAACATGTATCCATACCTAAGTAATGATTAATTCTCATTATTATTTATTAATTGATAATAATTATTATTGTTTATATTTTTTTTAAAAGTGGAACCAATAGCTAAGATATTTTTATAATCAAGTTTATTACAAAATTCTGCTCATGTGAGAAAAAGCTGCTTGGCAATGAAAGAAATGACTTAGTAAAGTGCTGTTCTTTTTCTCTACAATGTTTGCTCAACAGAATCAGAACAGTTAATTACCAAAGGCTTCAGATAGGCTGATAAACATGGAAATATGTGTCTCACAAATAAAATTAGCTAAGTTTATATGTGCTTATGCTAAGTTTAGGCATATATATGAGCACTCTTTAATCCTTATCCTGACAGTTCTTTCTGTGGTCCTTAATGTGTTCGCGGCCTAAGTGAAAAAAAAAGACTTGCATTAACACCAAGGTATTATTCAATTAATATCCAAAGGGTAGCTGCTGTTTTTTGAGTCTAGGCATGAAGATGATTTGGTAACTGCAAGGGAAATAGGCAAGAAAGGAGGTTTGTAAGCAAAGGAGATTTATTTGCATCCTTAATGTGACAAAAAAAAAAGAAGATGAAGGAGAAAACCAGAAAATACGAATGAGCAAAGAATTAGGAAATTCTTGAGATTGGAGGAGAGGATTTGGAGGTGAGGAGATAAGCTTTCAAATTTTTTATGGGGGAATTTGCTTTTAAGTCTTTAGGGGATAGGTTGGAAGAAAGTAAAGCATGTTGTGTAGACTACTAAAGTACTTCCATTTTGCCACTTTTCTCTCTAAAAAAAAATAGCTGTAGTCATTACAGCGTTATAAAAGGAAGCAGGATAAAGGGATAGTTTGAGCAGTGGATCAAAGGTGACAAGAGGCAGCTAGGAACTGAGATGTCTATTGTCAGCTGGAACAATGGAAGAACCTAAAGTAAAGGGGTTTGACTCAACGTCAAAGCAGATCCACTAAAAATAATTTATTTAGTGAATAGTATGTGTGCCTAAAGTATTAGAATTATTCCATTTGTTAACTTAATGACCTTCTTTAAGGTATTCTATTTTATTTCCTTTTTTTTTTTTTTTTGGTGCAGTGTGTATCTAGTGATTAAAATTTACAAAACGTACATGTGCATTATCATGTCACATGTGTCATGTCAGTCAACTCAAATCCGCTCTTCATTCAGATTACTAAGTTTTCTACTTTGATAAAATGAAAAATAAAAGAGACCTCTCTTAAATCCTCATTTTGTTTTTCAGTTTCAAGGTGGAAAACATGAAGTAAGCTGTAAGTGGTGGTGCTTTCTGCATTATCTGTATTTAAAATGCAGAATGCTGCCTGTCCTTCAGACCTTATTTGTTTTCAGGGTAAGTCAGAATATCATAACAGAGTTTCTACTATTCTGAGGTTTTATGATCAGCTTTTTTCTGATTAGTTTACAGCTTCTTTTTTTTTTTTTAAATACTTATTTCATGTGTGTAAACTGCTAGTATTTATAGTCTGCAGATTGTCTTATGAATTAGATTAAGGTCCTTCAAGGTTATAGAACTGCCTTAGCAACACAATTTCCCTCCTGAGCTGTGTTTCAGAGAAAGGAGGAAATACTGCTGCTATCATGGCTGCTGAATTCAGTGCTGCCAGCAGCTCTGAAAGCCTTTGTAGAAAACAGCAGGTCAGTAGCAAGTGTAAGACAGAATATACATTTTCAAAGCAAGTCCGCTAGTAGCAAACTGTGAACACACAGTGCAAGACAGCCAAAAAGTGTGTTACACCATGAATCACAGCAAAATAAATAATTCTGGAAGTCATCAGTAACAGACGACTGTGATCAAACAGTAAGGTAGGGAATGGCAATTTTAAATAACAGCAGGTGCAGTAAATTAAACTGGAAATGAGGGAATCCTAAAATATTGTAATTGGCTTCAGTTTCAGATGCAGGGCTGCACTCTGAATGTTCAGCTTGAAGACAAAATGAAACCTATGAAAAATAGATATGAAGAGCTGCAACTTTTTGCTGGGAGAAGACAGGAAGGATGGAAACACACTGTGCCTTATAGGAACTTTTTTCAGCTGTGATTAAGGCTGTAAGTAACTGATAACAGGTGACCTAACTCAGCATGGAGGAGCCCTAACCCAGTTCTGGGAGAATTTTGATAACAATTTTTTTTTAAATGTACATTGAATTCAGGAGAAGATTTTTAATAATCTGTTGTACAATATGTCACCAGCTGCTATCAATATGGAAATTCAATTAATCCTAACACATTTGGAATAGTTACAGTAATGTTGTAGCTGCTGTAAGAGCTCAGTTGGACACAGGGCATTTTCCTCTCCAGCTGTCTCTCTTCCAATACACAAGGCTGTGGTGCAGATGGAATTACAGCCAGACCAGGCTTGGCTGGGCTCTTGCAGAGCTTCTTGGCTACTTTTGCTGCAGGGAGGAGCTCTGCAAAAAGCCATGCTGGGGAGGTGCTGGCACCCGTATCTCAGTGGGGAAGTGCACTTGCTTCAAGCCCCAGGTCATTGTTGTGAAATCAGAGACTATCCTGGAAAGAAGGTGCTCAGAAGTCACAGCTGCTCTGGTGTGATATAACCTGCATGGTGCTGGGAATGGGAACCTTCAGGCTGTGTGTTTCCCAGGGAATTGTTACAGAAGGAAAGCTGCGCCTCTTAGTTGTCTGTGATAAGAGCTATCTTCACATCTGACTTAGATGAACTGAAGGTAGTTTGTGTGCTTCCTAAATTCACAGCTTACAAGGAACCCGAGAGCTTTCCTCAAAGCTCCCTGTACCAGAAGGGCCAACAATTGCCCCCAAATTTGCCATATCTAGTTGATACCCGTGTACAAAGTTCTTGCCTGGAAGTAAGAAGCTGAGCAAAACACAACTGGAAAAAACAGAAGAATAGCATGCAGTGGCTGTTGCCAACCCTGAGACTAAAATAATTTGTGTCTCAATAGAAAACACATGATAGATATATTCTAGTGAAAGGTATTTGTGCAATACATCACATACATTTATACTTTAATGGGGAGACTGTTATGACTAACACATATTGTATATGGTCTTTCAAGGCCAAAAGATATGTACTGAGAAAATAAGGTAGATTTATAGTTTAATAGCCCTTTTTGAGGACATATAACAAGATAAATTTGAAAAATGTAAACTCTACCTTCTCCAGATCAGTAACTGTAAGTAACCAAATGTTTCGGTTCAGAGGAAATTTCTCTTATTTATATAAAATCCATAACCTTAGCTGTTACTGTGAAAAAAGTATCACTGTACAAATCTTTAGTAGGTTAGCAGTATTTCATAAATCACCAGGTAAATGGAATATTTCAGCTTCTGGAAAGTTCAAATGTTGTCACTAAGGAAAAAACTCTCCTTGCATAACAAGTTACTGTGCCCTAATTAAAGCAAAGAGCCCACATTTTTAAAGATCAGTATACAATAGGAATGTACGACTTTAGTGCTGTGGTATGAGAAATGAGGAGTTCAGGTCTATCCACAAGTTTTGATAAGGAGTTGGAGTTCTTAAACAACTTTTAAAGTTGAATTGCAGTTTTTGATGTTTTGCATCCAGACATTTTAGCAATTTTCTTTTGCACTGGTATTACTGTTATTTTAATATGAACCAGAATTCCACATAAAAATGAAGCTTTATTGTGCTAGAATTTTTGCTGTGTTAAAGTAAGAGTTAAGTGCAGCTGTCAATTTACAGCCTTTAGATTCAGGTGGGTAAAAGCTGTGAAAAAGTAATCTACAACTTTGTGATTGCTTGAGTCCAAAGCACATATATTTGTAAGACTAAGAACTAAATATGTGTGTGATATGGTAGTTCAGGGAGTTAAGGGGAAATAGGTATTATTGCTAACCAAAATAGTTTTTCAGTACACTCAAAATAATACATATAAGAAAGAAAAAAATCCCAGTCTTCTTAATTCTTGTTTTCTACACCATATCTAGTTTATTTGCACAATTATGAAACTCTTGCCTTCACATTTAATAAGAATTAATAGAAACAGAGACTGGTCAAGAAATCCCAGCATTCAACAGTCACAGAATTTGTCAGGTTGGAAGAGACCACAGTGGGGGGATCTGGTCCAATCTCTTTTCTCAGTCAGGGTCTTCCTAGAGCACATGGCACAAGATTGATTCCTGAGGGTTCTTGAAAATCTCCAGTGAAAGATATTTAGTATTCCATGAGCTGGGACTTCCTTTCTATGTGATGGTATTTTTAGTTATTTCTGAACCAAAGTGAAAATTTGGCAACATAACAGACAGTGTATTCCAGATATTTCAGAGGGTATGTCACCTTCTGATCCTTCCCCTGATTTCTAGGCCACATGAAAACTGATTTTGGTTCCGAAGTCAAGGGAAGCCTACAGTGCAGTGGGGAACTTGAATTACATCTTTAATCAAACCAGCAGGGACAGGTCATGGAAGTATCCACAGAAATTTTGGTGTGATCTGGAAAGGAGAATGTTTGTTTCCACGTGCTCCTCTTGGCCATCCCACAGTGGGGCTGGAACAGGTTGGAATATTCCTGCTGGCATTCCACCCCCTGCCCACAGGGCAGTGGAACCTCAACAGCAGAGAGGCAGCAGCAGTTCTGAATCTGGTGATGGACAAACAGCCCACAGTGTCTGCCCTGCCATCTGGGAATCACAGCAGTCTCCAAGTGCCATCCTACTAAACTGGGTCCTGTTGATGCAAACCGTGAGCCTAGTAACAGAAAAATAGCTGTGGGTTTTTTTGTCCATATAATTTACACTTATAAACAGTTTTTTATATGCTATTTCTTTGTGCCTTGTTTATTCAATGCTAAATGACAGTGAAATTCTTCCTAAACGTGTTTGAAATTGCATGTGTTTATGAGGATATATCTCAAAGTTTTCTGTTTCATTAAAGTCCAAAGAGTCTTTGTGAAGTCTGCATTTATTTTCCAGTTGTGTGGGTGTGTATGTGTGTACTTTCCTTAAATTGTATTTGTGCAATCTCGTTTCAGTAAAAGATTTTGAAGAAATAAAATGTTGCAAGTGTTACCATAGCAATAAAGATCTTAGAGTACCAAAAATAGTATCTTGTTAAATCCCACTGTGGAGTTGGTACCCCTGCAGCTACAGCATCACTGTTCTTTACTCAGTGAATTTTCTGTTCTTTCTTTGAAACATGGAATGAGTGGGACATCATATACCAGTCATATATGAAATGGATATGTCCATTAGCAAAGGTACTTCACATGGAGTGAAATGTGACTGGTTATGAGACTAAAATAAAGCATCACTCCAAGTCCTAGGAAAGACACAGGATGTGGCAGTTTTCTAATTTATGCAATAGGAATTTAAGAATAAATATGTTAATGCCAAATTAGTTGTGCAGCTGTTAAATGAGTAGAAGAGAAAGGGGCATGTAAGCAAGTTCTTATGATCCCTGCATGCCAGTTGTAAGTGTATGGAATTATTATAATACTAATTAAAATCTTCCAACAATGAATATATTCAAGTAGAAAGCTTTGGAAAAAAACATTGGAATGTTCAACCACCGATATTACATAAAAAAGTGGTTTGTAAACTTGCAGAGATGTTATGCATGTATATACCTGATTCCTTAGCATTAATTGTGACAGGATATTATAGTGTACCAAAAGTCTGTTGTGCAAAATGAAATACTTTCTTTTGATAAATCAACCCTCTGTTTCAAAAACTTATTTCCAAGCATTGGACTCAACATTTGAAATTTGTGAACTAGATTTTGTATCAAAAGATAATTAAAGGACTCCTAGTGCTCCAAGTCAACCTGCATATGCTCAAATTTGATTTGAGGTCTTATGTATTGTATAGAAGTCACTGTACATGAGATGAACGTTATACCATAGTAAAAATGTGGCATATTCACAGTAGGAAAAATTTGATTTATATTCTGATTTCAATTTTTTTTTACTTTAAATGTTATATATTTAAAAATTTCTAGTTTCCTCAGTATATTTTTAACTTGTGCATAAATCTCCAAATAGTGAGGTTTCTGAGACTGCCCACTGTTTTTCTTTCCTTGAAAGCCAAATTACCCTTCCTACAACGAAATGTAAATGTTTTTATGTTTAACATCAGGTTAAGGAAAAATCAGCTTCTTCAGATGTCTTCCTTCCCCATGCATTTCTGTCTCCAAGTGGTTTTTGAAAGTCAACTTCTTCTCATGTTTCCTCAGGTGCTTCATGACACAACTGTGAAAGCAATGTTGTAGTTTCATCCATAATGCATATCTCAGATACTTTACTCTTTTCCTGTGTACAGAATTAAGAATAGAAGATGTTGGATTCTCTGACAAGGCTTGGCATGACTTACAGACCCATTTCATTTAATCTGCAGGTGTTTGCTTTGGAAGGCAATTAGGCATCTCTAGTCTTTTAAAGTTTCCTATACATTAATATCCCCATCTGTCTCCTTGCTTTTTTGGTATTTTTACTGTGTTTCATAACATAAAGATCAATATTGAAAAGGTAGTGGCTTCTCACATCCCTGTGGATTTGTGATAATTTATCAAATATAAATGATTAACCTAATAGAGTCTGAGAGCTATACTAAACACTTTGTTTTTGTATGCAGTTACACTGCTGTTTAGTACTTCCATGTGGGATAGGTGTTTATAGAGGTTATTAGAATTATTTACTATGTTAACCTTTGTTAAATGACCATAATATTGGTATATCTTTTCCTGAAAGAACATAGCCGTGCCTGTGCCCCAGTTCCTTCCACTGTGACAATTGGCAATACTTTAAATATCTGCTGATGTGCTGTTGCTTAATCAGTGCTAAGTTTGAAAGTCAACATGTTGAAATAGGAATATTGGCTTCTGGAACAATGCTTCAGTGGGAATTACTCATCTATTGTTTTACACCGTGATGCTGCATCTCATCACAGAAGTATCTCAGGAATCAGAGTTTATAGCCAGGAAATATATCATCATGTATTAAATGCCTCGTGGTGCCTACAAAAGAAATAAATTGTCAGATAGCTGGGTTACAATCACGAGTTCTTCTATTTGTCAGTAATAATGGATAATTTGCAAGTATTTACTAGCTTCTT